AGTTCTCGAGACCTCAGTGTTTTCTCCTTATCTTATCTCCGTTTTCAATAACAATGAAAACAGTTCATAACAAATAGTGAGCTTATGAAGAAGTCGCATTTTCAAAGTAAAAAAAAAAGAGATAGGATAGGACGGGAAAGCACAAAGGTCGTTCTCTGCCATCTTGGCCGTCATTTGGTTCCAGAGAGAGTCAAATGGTGCGCTCCATGGTGAACCGGAATTAAATACGTCAGAGTGCAAAGTCTGGGGTATTATAATATTATATAAATCTGTGGTGTGGTATGAGAGGGAAACAATTTTGACCAAACACAACAGTGCCCCAACTGGCAGAGTGAAAGATGAGCAGAATTGGTTGAACTTTTCAACGATACATGTACATAACTAATAACGTAATACTTTATATATTGCATAGCTCGTAGAGCTTGCTGTTGAGCGGGACTTTGCGCTATACAAATGCTATGTATTATTATTGTCATTATTGTTGTTGCTATTATTAATATCATTATTACTATTATTAAATAACACAAGCTCCTCATAACGGCGAAACAACTGGGCGACATCTGACAACCTTCCTGGAACCTAAACTGATGTAGTGTTGTTTAGTGGAGGTCTTGTTCAGGCCCACTGACATACGCTGGTATACGATGGTCCAAACCACCTCCCTCTCCCCACACACACATACATACACACATACACACATAGGTATATGCACACACATACACGCGGGCACACACACACACACACACACACACACACACACACACACACACACACACACACACACACACACACACATACACACTACTCACACACACATACTCACACACTCACACAGCTGGACTGCATCAGAAGTGAACCCAAACCCTTCACTCATTACTCCCACCTCCATAACAACAACTGCCTGCAGGCATGCACGCTATGACCGATGCCCACTGATCCCATACTGGCGAGATCCTGGATGGAATCATATCAGATTAGATCGGAACCGTTCGGTATAGATTATGTCGCTGGCCAGTATGCACCATAATTATCAAATTACAGTCGAAACTGTGTAAGGCGGCCTTCCATTGTTGAGGAGTAATTAGTAATTTGGTTGTCTTTAACACATGGACTTCTGACACAACAGTGTCATTGTAAAGTAAAAAACAAAACAAAACAAAACAGAAATAACAACCCCCCCCAAAAAAAACAACAAAAAAACAACAACAACAACAACAACAACAACAACAACAA